ATTAGCTGCATCATACCCACGCCAGCATGATTTGTGTAGCCTTTCGAGAGTACAGAATGCCTGGTGTTTCTCAGGATGGTTGCAATCCCACATAAAAGGCCCGGCTTAGGGTTTATTCCCTAGTAAGCTCTATGCCCACAAAGTCAGGATACACATTTATTGACTTGGTCTTACAAAGAAGGCTGCAAATTACACAAGGGTAGATTTTCAAATGCTGCTCACTTGACATACACTTAAAAGCCCTGTGTTAAGCCACTGAGCGGATTTTCCTGCTCCAGTGCAAGGATTTGGATGGTCCAGGTGCACACAGACCAAACCACCACCTTCCATTCCAAATACAAGGGGCAATACACAGACCTGCCCTACACTAGAGAAAACTGAGCACAGACTGCAGAAGTAAAAATGCTTTACATGAGAGTCTACAAGCAGTTTTCCCCCTGTGGAGAGGAAGAAAGAAACAAGGAAAAAACTGCATGTGAGTCATGTCCATTAAGGCACTACTGGAAGGCAACTGCACACCACAATGATGGGCCCAGTAGAAAAACCTCACCAGAATAAAACAGAAAGGATACAAATATACGTGCACAATTCTGAATGACAGTGTCTGCTTCTTTTACACATGAGTGGGGAATGGGCAGAACCCACCTCCTGGATGCACAATCAAATCATTGCCCCAGACTTGAGAGTGGATTGTATCTCCCACAAGCCTGCTTGGAAGTGGGGGAGGGAGAGGTCAGCCATCCCTGTAGAATTGCCCCTCCATTTCCAGGCCCTTCCTGGAGCCCAGGTTGGGGGGTAGAAGAGGGGCCCTGCAAAGAATCTGTGTCAGAGGTCTTAAAACAACACCCTGCTCCCTTTTACTCTGCGCTCTAGGATTCTGCAGGATTTCCTGGCCAGGCAGATGTGTTGAGTCGTGTTGCCTGACAGCCAGGGTGGAGAGGGAGCAGGAGACCCCTGAGCAAGTGAAGATCATTCATGGGGTTTGGGATGGACTCATTGCTTCTTGCATGGAAAGATCTCTCTCCCCCCCACACAAACGGGAGTATTTAGAAGTAGCACCATGAAGCTGCCTAGAACTTGCAACTGCATGAGGGAGTGGGTGTACTCGCCGTCTGAGCAACCTCAACTCTGGGCATTTGAGCTTAGGTGACAGACACTCATGATCACGAAAGACAGTATTAAATTGAATGAAACATAACAGACATGGCTCTAACCATCCACATTAGCTGCTACAATACCTCTAGGTGGATGTATTTGAAGATCTTGGTTCTACTCTGCAACAAGCCACCATTCAAGTGTCCCAGTAGAAAAGAGAAATCCAGAAACAGTGTAAGCACGACAGCATAAAGGACCATCCAGCCGGTCATTTGATATCATGGCATTGGCTAGCTAGCACTAGGCTCTGGATTGGCACTGCATAAAACTATATAGGATATCTGGGTAAAACCTAAACACCTCATGTAAACACCATGGAATCACAGCTGCCATCAAGAGATACACTAAAACCAAAAGAATCATCTCATTGACCATCAAGGTCTGTTCTATATACAGTGTAATGTGCGTGCACACACACACACACCGAACAGTTATAATTAGAGATGGATCCACAGTGAAGGATAAGCTGCAATTTATACTTAAAATAGGATTCGACTTCTTTCTTATGCAAGAAAAAGACAGCCTAACTTCTCCAAAATTACAGCACATCCTCGTGGCGCACAAGAAAGAATTGACATAACTCGGCTCATTGGTTTATTAGTTGTAAGCATTTTAGAACAGCCCCCTGCTAAAAAAGATCCTTGTTGTTTCCTACCTTCTTTTGCAGACCTCACTAGCAAACAAATTGCTAATTTTTCAGACTGACTCGCTCATGCACTGAAGCAAACTCTACAACACAGGCTACTGTTTAATTTGATTGAATGGCGACTTTCAGTCTTCTCCAGTGTTCATTGAGGGTGACACGGTTGTTAAAAGTAGGTAGGCTATCGGCCCCGATCTGGCAGACACTTGTGCAGGTACTTCATTTTAAGTCTGAGGGTTTGCAGGATTCGAGCCTTACTGTGACGGTGGGGATGAGCATCCGGATGATAGCAGGCTGGGACTGCACCGGGTAGAAAGGTTCATGTAGGACTGCTGTGGTTGTGCTTTTTTGAGTGTGAGTGGCTGTTGTGAGGAATTAAACTGAAGCAGCTTTAGCTTTGTATCTAGCCCGCTAGATCTTTGGCAAGCCTCTTAGGGTATGTCTTCCCTGCACAGTTAGCCCTAGCTGTTACCGGGGTGTTCTCCTAATACAAAAACCACCCACCCAAGGTTGGTGGCGTTTTCAACCCAGGTTAGCTGGCTAGCCCTGGGGTACAGGGCGACACTCAAGTGCTGCTTTCACATGGGCTGATAATTTCTCTCCCCCCCACACACACTTTGCAGTGCGGATGCAGGACAAACCAAGTGAGTGCAGATAGTCCTCCAATGCTTTCCCACAATTCCCCCCACTTGCCCAGAAGGACAGACAAGTTCTTCCACAATTCACTGGGAAAGAATCAGAGGACGGTGTAGCTTATTGCAGCACTAAGAGCCGGGGATTGGCCCCAGATGTCCTAGACACCCCCGTGGAGCACAGCACAGGGGACACAGTCGGTGAAGTAGGGCTTTGTTTGCAGCATGGCTGCTCACCCTGGGGAAGGCTAATCTGGCTGCTCTGACCCAAGTTGACTCTGCAGCACACACATAGCCTTACTGACCTCAGCGGCAGATGTGCTGTAGAGGGAGGAGAACGCTAAATATATGCTCTGGTCCACTGTCCCTAATTAAAAATGAAATGCAGTCCCTTCCATAGAATGAATTTGACACCCTTGAGGTGAGTTAATAACATTTTCTGTACGGGATTATATAACTGTGCATTTCTTATATATAAATAACCAACACACTACATATTTGATGTAAGATGTCTAAATTATTCATAAAAAGAGCAGGAGTACTTGTGGCACCTTAGAAACTAACACATTTATTTCAGCATAAGCTTTCGTGGACTACAGCCCACTTCTTCAGATGCATAGGTGTCACTCTATGCATCTGAAGAAGTGGGCTGTAGCCCACGAAAGCTTATGCTGAAATAAATGTGTTAGTCTCTAAGGTGCCACAAGTACTCCTGTTCTTTTTGCGGTTACAGACTAACACGGCTGCTACTTTGAAACCTAAATTATTCATGTATCAAGTAAGTGGCTTCAGACTTCATGATCCCCAGCCACCTGGGAGGAACACAGCTATTAAATTACCCATCCCCACTGCACTATTTTCCTTAAACAAGATTCAGATCATAGTAATCTGAGGTAGGTTCTGAAAATTCCTAATTCTCTGAACACAATCATTGTTTGCATTTTCAGGTGAGATGCAGCATCAGAATGATGACAATAAACTATAGCTTTGTCCAATGATGCAGAAAAGTGGAAAAATGCAACCTGCTAACTTCCTATTTGTGAAAACACACACACTCTTTCTGAGTGCAGGGGCTGATCAGTGGGTCATTACCCTCTCATTACACTTGTTAGAAGTGTGGGACAGGGGCATTCCGCGGGACCGCATGCCTACATATTTTCACAATTCATTGGCTGGACACATGCACAGTTCACTTTGTACAAATAGAAAATTAGGAATGTTTACCTGCCTTTTTTCTTGCATCTTTTAAAGCCTAAACATATATTAGTCACTGTCCTCAATCAAGGAAGATATGCAAATTTTTCACTTCTAATTTTGATCATTAGCACTAATGTTTTTCTCACTTTTTAAAATAGCTTCTCGGGAACCTCTCATGGAAAAGATAATATGTACCTGACAACAGAAAGAAATATTGTGTCTTGCTTCCAAAATCATGTTGGGTTTTAATGTCAAAGCCTTCATTTTTTAAAGAAAACTAGGCTGAAAATAATCATTTTCACCCATCACCATCCTGTTCCCAGTGCAATCCAGCAGCCTAGCACGGGAGCTACAGAATCTGTTTTGTTGCAGCACTGCAGTAAGTTGTGTTTCAGTGCTATACATCCCATAAGCTTCCCAGTGGTCTGGAGATTGTCTTATTTCCCTGCTGCTCTCTGTTAGATATTCATAGCAAGCAATAAAAGCAATATCAATGGTAAGGTCCACACGCCAAATTGGAAGTAAGTGAATTGTTTCTATTTGCCATCATTTGGTTGTCGGAGTTATCTTAATCAACCTAAGCAGCTTCTTCAAGACATATAATCTGATTTTGCAAAGTGCTAAACCATAATCATATTTTGATCTTCCTTTGATTCCAAGTATAAAAAAATAGCCCTTATTTAATGCTGAGGCATATAATCTAACTACATCTGTGTTTGCATTTGCACAATGGGGGAGTGAAACATGGCCAGAGAACCATCTTGGATTTTATCTATTTTATTACTCAAATGGAGAATATAATAGGGGTTTTTTTTTTGCACTAGCATGGCTTAAAAATTGTTTTTAAGCTTCGCTGGCTCCTTTAGATTTGAACTTTGCTAACAAGAATGTGATGAGAGAAAGCGTGGATAAAAAGAAGTATGCTTTTCTAATGTAGTTCAGTTTAGCTGGTCCTTTCATCAGCCTCAACTCATTCAGGAATAAATAGGAAAGGCAAAGAAATTATGAAGGAAAATGCAATATTTTCACTGTCTAAACAACAACAAAAATGGCTTTCCCTCTGTAGCTTTCTATGCATGTGAAATAAACGAGGTACAGCCAATTATCATCTGAGAGCCTCTCTCTGTACCAAGGACAGAGATGGTATTTTCACAGCTGAACATTTTTGCCTAGTAAAGAAGAGAAATGTAAACACAGTTCCATGCAAATTCAATCCAAGTATTGACAGGCAGAACAGACCCAGAATTTCTCTAACCTTAAGGATAAGAAAATGATACAGCAATGTTCTGCAGATGACTAGTTTTGATCTTTTATTAGTTCTCATAATTGTCTCTTGTTAATTTGTATCCTGCATAATAAGCATAAGCACTCACCTTCACAGTTTGCCCAGCTTCAGGACCATCCTGTAAGCAAAAAATAGAAGAGTTAGATAAGTGGGGCTAACAAGGATCTCCTGGGGATTCAGAAATATTACCCATTAATAATTTAAATCCAATTTCATTGTGTGTTAATTTATAGTATTCTCCTGGGTCCCATTCAGCACAAAGCATGTGAGACCAGATGCTTTTACATTTCAGGTCATGATTAAGGGAGAAATAATATGTGAAAAGGAAATAAATACTGGCACGGTTGTTATTTTTCATGATCTCAGATCCCAGTTTTTAATTGCTAGCAATAACGTTTCTGTTATTCGTGGACGTAAAATACAGAACTGTAAGCGCTGCTTTAAATCACAGCCTGTTTATTTAAATTCTTGTTATGTCAAAAATGGGGTTAACCTCCAGATTTGCTTTAAACAAAAGGATTCGTTATTTTGTATAAGACCACTGGGTCAATCTAGTTCAATGTGACACCCCAAAGAATACTTCAGGTAATAAACCTACATAACACACTAGCCAACTACTGGGCAAGGTTGCCTGTGGAGAGAAATTCTGGCCTGCAGGCAATGAGTTTGCTCCTTCAATCATGGGCTGCGAATACCCTCATTAAGAGCCGTGCCCTGCAAACACTTTCTACTAGGAGTAGTATTTACTAGAAACCAATGGATCTTCTCACGGTAGGAAGCACTACACCTGGTGGTGTTTGCAAGGAAAGGCACAACTTTAGCTGTCATTAATTATCCAGACTCTTCTTTGAATCCAGATACAGTATTTGATTGTTAATCTCCATCAGCTGTGAATGCCACAGGTTATGCTATGCTGAGTAAAGCAAAACTTAACTTCCTTATATTTGTTGAGTATTTCCTGCTCCTTTGGTTTGAGCAGTGGGTTATGGAACAGAGTAAAAAGCTCCATAAAACACTAACAGGAAACAAAAGCCTTTGGAGCCAATTAGTTTACAAACCTGAATCGAAATGGTGAGTGAAGAGCCACAGAAATGTTTCTCCACCACATTTCCAACCATTTGTGTCGTTTGAAATAAATCAGCCACTTCTTCAGGACGCAGATCGCGGAAACGCTCCACGGGCCGGAGTGGGCAAACAAGGACATCTGAAGTGGAAGTCGTTAAGGCAGAAGTGCAAATCCAGGTATTCCAGAACAACAGTTTGTTCATTCCCCCTCCCTCCCCCCGCCATAACAATAGGTGCTCATCCTGAAGTGAATTTCCCCTTTATTGTTAAACTCGCCTTGATTTGAGGATCACTACGAAAGCAACGGAAAGGAAAGGGTTTAGGGTGAAAACACAGCAATCGCATTGTGGGTTCCTCAAAAACCTTCCCCATTTCCTCACACATATGACTTCTGGGCCAACATTTTCACACCTTGGTGTCTAAGTTTAAGCCCCTAAATAGATTTTGCAATGGAAAGTGTCCTGAACACTCACAGCCTATCGCTATTGTAGGCACCTTTTACTAGAAGGGCCTCTGAACTGAATTGGGCATGTTCCAGTTGGGAAGACCCTGACTACAACTCCCATGATACCTTGGGGGAGAGAGAGGGAATGCAAGGAGAGCATGTTGTGGGCTCCATTTTTGGAGAGGAGGTGAGATTGCTTGATGCAGCTCTGTACTTACGAGGAGCTGCTGCTAAACTGCTTGTGGGAAGTCAGAAGCTGCTGCTGAGAACCTGCTGGGACTTTGACCAAGCAGGGAGCCTCAGAGGCTGTTGGGGGCTTCACTGGAGCCAGGACAGAGACCGTTGCTGTGCCCAGAACTGACTGAGCTGGGTCTGCAGTGATTATGATGACCAGTGAGCTACTGGCTCTTGGTAGAGACCTCCTTTGGTAAACCATCATGCAGATATCTGACCCATGGATCCCTGTAAGTCACCATGCACATCCTGTGCCTTCTGCCAGTTGACAACAACTGGTCCCTGGGTCACAGTTGGCATGTAGCACCTCTGAAAATCAGGCTGCATTTCTATAGGTGCCTAAAAATGGATGGAGGGTGTGGAAGCAGAGAAAGAACTGACTGGAAGGGGATGCAATGCATGACAGTTCGTTAG